CTCCTGGCTCAGGAAACTTAGAGAATGGTTTAACTGTAGTTCACTACAAATTTTCAGAGCAGCATCCAACAAAGTGACCATAGCCGTTATGATATCCAACCTGGAGATATGAGATGGAACTTTAAGAAGAAGATTCCCCTATAGATTTTACATTCCAATTGATCACCCTTTTTGTGTAGCGGGCAAACGATCCCAATACACCACTCTTCCGAGATTTGTTCCTCATTCCAAGCTCTCAGTATGATTTTATATATATGGTTAGTAAGAGTAGCCTCTCCACATTTAGTAAATTGGTTGCTGCAATTTGAGTCCATTTCAAACTAGCTAGTAGAAATAAATCACTGGCGCTACTTAGATTAGGACAGATTAGGAAGACAAGCCTTAGAGTTATCCATTTTTTTTATATTTCTGTCTGTAAATATTCGTGTAGATTCTTTATAGTATATGTGTAAAACAATAATTTAGACACGAGTAAAGTTCGTTTACAAATATCTCAATATCGCCAGAAGGGTCTCTGTAAATATTAATAAGACAACACATACTATCTCTTAAGCTAAAAGTAACACAACAACATTCGAAATGTATTTCTTCCGCGATAATATTAAAAAAGTTTTGAGGTTTACAAGATAAACAGTCTTTTATGTACATCAAAACACCTCCATGACATTTATCTTTTCTTGTGAAAGACGCTACTTGGTTATAATTTTGAAAACAAAATAAATCCCTATTTAGATCACTACACCATGTTTCAGATACACATAGAACATCAGGATCCTCTGAGCCCAATATTACCTTAATTCTGTTACTTTTATTAGTTATCGATTGAGAGTTAACACTTATGATTTTAAAATTTTCAAAAGAATCTACCAGATTATTATTATTTTGTATACTAACATCAACGTCGTTGGTTATATGGAATTTCTCAGGTGAGTTCTCTGTAGATATAAAAAACGCTGGTCATATGCTCCATGGGGCCATTTATCAGAGTCCATAGCATTCTGGAAATTAGACTCATAAATGCTTACCTTAAATGACGAATATAAATCTGGATGTTTCGAATCAAAAAACTCGCAGGCTACGTATGGAAAGTGTGGTTGTAGCATATTTAATAAGTCATTTATGTCCACCTGTGGATCCACCCGGTATACGTGAAGATTTGCCATTTTTGGAACTGCTTTAAATTCCTTGCCGTTTATTTTAATGAATTCATTTTTGCCTACTATAAGTTGTGTTCGTTGTTTGTTTCTTTTCACTTCTTTCCATTCATTATTGTTACGAGGTGAAGTATCCTCACCTAAACTTTAATATATAATGTAATAATTTCATTACATTATTCTTTTGTGACAGCATTCAGTACAGCACACGAAAGATCATTTCTTGACACATCTGATTTTATCGGTAAGAGCTGGTAACAGGCTCAGTTGGCTTCGTATTTTTATCAGTATGGGTATTAAGCTTGTCAGCGTAAGTTTTAAAAGAGAGATAGATATAGAAAGATATAGAGAGATCTCTAGAAGAGACCAAAATATGCTTAGCTATTTTCAAAACATAGCCAAAGCATTCGATCAAGTGTAGCACAGAAGTTTGTTGAGCTCCATGTTTATAAGTACTTCTTACATTAAATGTTCCAATTTGTATTATTTCCTCGGATTGTTGCCTTTCTTTTGTTATTATTTTTCCGCTTTTCATAGTCGTATACCTTTTCCTCTCCGTTTTGGTTTCATACCTCCTTAATTTTTTTTTTCTACTAGACTTTTCTACTTTTATTAATTTTACACTGATAATTTCTTATCATTGCTGTTTTTCTTTAACCCATATCCACTCATTGTCATTCACAATCAACTTTAACCCTTTAATTATTCCTGGTATTACCCTTGTACCACGCACACATTTCGCCAGAGTAAATGAGTAGTACAAAGCAGATTTCTACTCATTTACATCTATACATGTATTTTAATAAGTAATGCATAGATGACTCTGATATCGGAACGTTTACTCCATTTGTAAACATTGTAGTGGTACAACATTTGTACCAGTGGATTCTAGGGTGTTTCTTTTTTGCAATTAGCACGAGGCTGAATTTGTTTTGTTATTTTTTCTTCAAAATTTGACCATGAGTTTGCTATAAAAGGTAAGTGTTTTTTATTACCAATATAAGGATACTATACAGTAGTTTCAGAATAAAAAATATATATATCAAAAGTAAATAAAATTGAAAATTATTTTCAATATGATATTTTATAAAAATGTAACCTCAAACTTTCCTCTAAAATACAAATATTTATAACCATCACAAATATGCCAAATTGGTTGCATATATGTTGTGTTGGTCATTTTTGTACATTTTCGTCATACATTATGAACCAATCTATATTTACGCTCAGCAAATATTTTCCACAATACCTCAACATGCATGTTTTTTTCAGATGTCCGAAAACTATTCTGATATACAGTATTGGAAGAAGGGCCTTACAACTGAACAGTTAGCCAAAATATTACATGAAATAACGGATGATCAAGCTGAACATTCCGAGATTGAAGGGGACTCCGATGCTGAGGATGTAGTAGAACCTGACACACCATCAGAAAGATCTAGCAGAAGTTCGTCTACACTGCCGTCTACTCCGTCTGGAAGTGGTACAGCCAAAATAGACATAGTAACTAACTACACGCCCCTACGTAGAAAACGTAAAAATTCTACAATTTACGACTGTTTAGAACACGAGGATTCAGATGATTCTGTAGCAGACAGAGATTACCAGCCCGAAAAACCCTCTCAAAACAAAAATATGAATGCTTCATCATCAAGTGAAGATAAAGTAACTTTCGATGTTACCAATAATTTTAAGGGGTGGTCTAAAGAACCAAGAATACCCACTGAATTTAAAAATTGTAATTATGTAGAATTCAAGGGTTCGAAAGTGATACCGTCTTCTGAAGACCCAGTAAGTTTTTTTAATGTTTTTTTTTAATGACACCTTACTACAATACATTATAGAACAGTCAAATTTATATGCTGTTCAAGACAACAAAAATTTAGATTTGTCCTTAGAAGAATTGAAAGCTTTCCTAGGAATTTTAATTCTAATGGGATTTAATAGTTTACCTTCTATCAAAAAATACTGGTCTGCAGATCCAAATTTCCATAATGAAAGGATTACTAATATTTTCCCTCTAAAGAGATTTCTTAAAATATTAAGATATATCCATTTGAATGATAACCAACAAATGCCAGCCAGAGGAACTCGGGAATTTGACAAGTTGTACAAAGTGAGACCTCTTATTCAAAAATAAAAAAAAAAACCTTTATGGAATCTTTTTCTCCGAGCAGAAATATTTCAATTGATGAAAGTATGGTTGCCTTTAAAGGAATGACTACTTTGAAACAGTACATGCCAATGAAACCCATAAAGAGGGGTATAAAAATTTGGGCAATGGCATATGCTGAAACAGGTTACCTCATCAATTTTGAGCTATATCAAGGTAGAAAACCTGAACGGACTAAAGAACATACTCTAGGGGAAAGAGTTATACTGAATTTAATTAAAGTTTTGGAGAAAAGGGGTCACTGCTTGTACTTTGACAATTTTTTTACCACACTTCCACTTATGAATAAGTTATCAGAACTAGGTCATTTTGGTTGTGGAACAGTAAGACAAACACGAAAATATTTTCCAAAAGCACCTTTAGTATATAACAGAAAAATGAAAATGGGTGTAATTGATGGAGTTGTCTGCAATGATATTACTATAAGTAAGTGGAAGGATCGTGGCTCAAAATCTGTGACCGTATGCAGCAATGTGCATAATCATGCAGAAACTGGTTTTGTTTTGAGAACATCAAAAACTGGAGAACGAGAAAACATCCGCTGTCCTCAAGCCATTGTAGACTACAATATGTATATGGGAGGTGTTGCTCGGTTGGACCAACGAATGCAGACATACTCAGTAGCTTGGAAAAGTCGTCGATGGTGGATGAAGTTATTACCTTTTTGATGCATCCATAGTAAATTCTTATATACTTTATAAAGAATCCCTTAGGCAAAGTAACAGTAGAAAAAAAGCAATATCTCAGCTTGAATATAGATCTAAATTGGCTACCAGTCTTATAAAAGATTTTTCTGCGAAAAAAAAAATTGGGAGACCATTGAACATGGAGTATTTTCAAAATGTTGGTCATTTGCCGCAGAAAACTACGCGAAGACGATGCCAGCAGTGGATTACAGAAACGCAGTGATATAGAGTGCGTAGACTGTAAAGTGGCTTTGTGCTTGGATTGTTTTAAACCATATCATTCAAGTGACTGAACTATGATTTTTATTATTATATTTTTGTTTGTTTATTACAATATTGTGCAGTATTTTTGTATTATTTTAACTCCTATACCTATTATTGATACACTTTTTATTATTTGGTACACCCTATGTACCAGAGAAACTAGCATGAAAATTATTCCTTGATTGAACTCTGGTACAACGGTTGACCACCTATTTTTTCATAGAAAAAACAAAAATATATTCAAAATCTAGTAACTGATGTGCTAACTGTAGTATTCAAAACTATTATCTGAAATAACCTTTAAAAAAGTTCATCATAATAAACTTGCGCCTTAAAGGGTTAAAGAATATGGTAAAAAAAAGAATAATAAAAAATAACATATATAAGTAAGCACTAAATACTTTTCCAAATAATATACAAGTATGTAAATGCATAATTATTCGAATCCTAATGATCTGTCTAAACTTTCAAAGAAAATTAACAACAATTAAGAATAATTTGTCAACGTAATTATCGGTAATGCATTTAAAAGACATATTACGAAAGCAAATTAATCGACGTTTCAGAATTAATGTCACTATGTGTAAGCAGCAGTTTCTTTTACTTACAAAGATATAACAAAAAGAAATCCAAAAGGGTAGCTAAATGAGAATATAAACTTTCAATCAAATGTTCAAAAAGTCATAAGCGGGTGATAACGAGACTAAGCCAATTTATATTTACCTCCCATAACCATTAATAATACTGGTTTTCTTCCGTTGATATCCGACCACGCTCCAGCAAGCATATTTATAAATACAGGAATAAGTGCTGGAGGTAGTTCTGTAACCATTACAATAATATTGGCAGCTTTTTGAACTTTAACTTCCAACTCACTGGTTTCTCCTTTTTCAGTTACCTTGCCTAAATTTCTGCAATCTGTTTCGTTGTTACCCAAAATTGTGTAACAAGTTCTATAGTAGATGAAGTTTGTTGTAATGGAAGCTGAAACATAATTTAGAAGATTTGTAATAATATTTAAACATTCAATATGAAATGGTCATTCAGTTTTTTTGAGCCATGTTTTATAAGCTCATGTGAGATGCCTACAGGTCCCGGTGCTTTCTTATTTTTGATTGCTTTTATGGCCGTTCTCATTTCCCTATCTGTTATTTCTATTTCTTGTTGTGGGAATCTGCTTTGTCTACGCCTGTTTTATTTTCCAATAAATTGTGGTCTTTGGTATGTTAACAGTTCCTTGTAACATGTAACGTCCTTCTATTCTTTGTCCTGTATATTTTCCAATTTAATTTTTTCTTTTGAGTTTTGTTTTAATCCTCTCGGTACTTTCCATGACTCCGAAGTTCTTCTACCTCCTATGTATGTTTCAATATTTTATAAATAAAACAATTCAAACAAATATAAAATAATTCAAATTTGAAAATTGGAATATCTCATGGAAGACATGTTATGAATGTTATGTCATGGAGGATACAAGGAAGACTGCAGAATACAGGGTAGAAGCAGTCGTGGAAGAAAACGCAACTACTGAATAAAAAATTTGAGAGCTAAGTTTATCTGCACTTCTGCTGATCTCTTTACTGCAGCGGTATCGAAAGTGGGAATTGCTATAACAATTGCCCACCTTCTTAGAGATAATGGCACATACAAAAGAAGATAGTTTGCAGCTCTTCTCTTCTGAAAGCAGTGAAAGGGCTACATATTTTAGCAATAGCAATTATGATGAAGTTTATAAAGTACTCTCTATACCTAATTATTTTAGAAATAGTTCATTTATTTTTAATTTTACTGTATATATAGTTTAATATACTCTTTACAATACTCACATACTAGCAGCATGCTGAAAAAACACAATACCACTGGAACTTCTATAGTCACTTTCTTATACCAAGCCATATTTTATTCTACACAAACGAATCTAAAAACTGAGCTACTTAATATTTCATTTAATATAAATATTCTACTACCCCATCTGATAACCTACTAAGAAAAAGTTGAACGTAGAGATTTCTATTGTCTATTTTGAAATGTGTTGGCTTAAGTGATTAGATTACAACCATTTATATAAGGTATAGGTAGTGTTTAAAGACCATAAAGAAATGTATATTTTTAAAGTAAATAATCTATTTTGCAAACATGTATTTGTTGATACTCCCATTATTTTTGTTAATTTTTATGCTTTTAAACTACAAGTATATAAACTTTATGTTCATATTTTTTTGAGTATCACTAATTTTTCTCATGCTTCTCATATAGGAATAATTTCTGATTATTAGCGTTAGACTAAATAAACAGTTTTTTAATCAAATAATATGTTTTATATTACATTTTACAATTCATTAAAATGTTTGTGACATGGTACGATTATTTTATTTATACGAGTCCTAACAACAAAGTCCTAATAAACATTCGAAAATACAAGAGGTCAAAGGTCAATGATAGACTACATCCTGACGAACAGGGTAATACATCCCTCTCAAGTATTGGACCTAAGAGCACTAACATCTGCAGAAATAGGAAGCGACCATAAGCTTATACTTGGAAAAATCAGAATGACGACACGCATATGTAACAATAAAAACAATAAAAATAAAAAAGAAGAATACACCACAAAGGTAAAAGTCGAGAGTCTGCAGAACGAATCAACAAAACTTCTATACCAAAAGAGAGTCTAAGATAAACTCGACAACGTGCACATCGTAGAAAGTGATGGAATCGAAGAAAGCTGGGCGAAAATTAAAGCAAGCATCCTAGATTCAGCAAAAGAAGCTGTAGGAGAAAGGAAAATTCTTAAAAATAAATATTTCCAAAAGCGGAAAACTCTGTGGTTCTGCGCAGAAGTGAAAGAAAAATGCAAAGAAAAAAAGAAAGCTTACTTAAGATACATGTCTAACAAAACACCACAAGAATACAACAATTACAAAAAGATAAGAAACGAAACAATAGCACTAGTAAGAAAAATTAAAAACGAATACTGGAAACGCTTCTCGAAAGAAATGGAACACGACTTTTACGGTCTATAAAAGGAAATATGGCGTTTCATAAGAGGCTAAAGATCAGAGATGAAAGACAATCGAACCGAAACACATAGATAACGACACATGAATTGAATACCTAAAGAAGCTTTTTAATGATGAACAGCAAATGATGTTAGAACCAGAAACACCAGAAATCATTACAAACGAGGAAGTCGAGATAACCGTACAAGAAGTAAAACAAACTTTAGAAAAACTGAAGAACAGAAAAGCTGCAGGTAAAGATGGAATTCCAAATGAATTATTGAAATATGGTGGAGAAGCATTAACAGAACAGCTAACAGCACTAATTAACAAAATCATCAAACATAATAAAATACCTAAAGAGTGGAAGAAAAGCGAGCTTATCCTACTATACAAAAAAGGAGATAAAAAAACAACCTGAAAACTACAGAGGTATCAACTTATTAAACACCACTTTGAAGCTTACAACCAAAATATTGCGAGGCCAAATAAATCAGAGAATTACCTTAGCGGATGAACAGCAGGGTTTCGCACAGGAAGATCGTGCACAGATGCAGTATTCATCATAAAGCAGATTACCGAGAAAGCACTAGAGTATAACAGACCAGCATTCATATGTGTAATAGACCTGAAGAAAGCGTTCGATTAAGTAAAGCTTAAAGATGTAATTCACCTTCTTTACGATAGAGAAATTCCACTAAATGTTATAAAAACAATAGAGAACATTTACCAGAACAACAATATGGAAGTCAGAATAGATGACCAGGTTACAGATCCAATAGATATGGGCAATGGAATAAGACAAGGAGACTCGCCTAGTCCAACGCTATTCAATCTAATCATGGATGAAATCATCAATACTATTAATAAAGGAAGAGGATACAAAATGGGGAACAAAGAAATCTGAATACTCTGCTATGCAGATGATGCGGCCCTAATTACATCCAATGAAGACGATCTACAAAGACTAACCCATAGATTCAACACAAGGGCAAAGGACTTTAATATGGTGATCTCTACATAGAAAACTAAAACAATTGTAATCAGTAAAGAACCAATTAGATGTAAACTGGAAATCGACGGTATCAGCATTAAGCAAGTAATGGAGACAAATTACCTAGAAATTACACTGTCTAGCTACGGAGATGTGGAGAAGGAAGTGAAAAATCAAGTACAAAAGGCTAATAAAATAGCAGGTTGTCTTAATAACACGATATGGCGCAATCGCCACATTAATACGACGTGAAATCAAGAATCTACAAAGCAACAATAAGACCAATAATGACATACACTTCAGAGACAAGACCGGATACCTCCAAAACTCAGCAACTACTAGAAACAGCGGAAATGCGTTTACTGAGGAGAATTACAGGAAACACACTGAGGGATCGAATGAGGAGTGAAGAGATCAGAAGAAAATGCAATATACCAGAAATAAATAAGTGGACACTGAAAAGAAAAAAGGAATGGAACGAACACATAAACAGAATGGAAGAGACCCGATTAGTCAGAATAGCGAGGGACAAATCACCAAAAGGTAGAAGAAGTATCGGGCGACCACGCAAAAGATGGAGTGATAACCTCCAATAGAGGCATTCATCGACATTGAACAAGCATTTTGCTTATAAAAAAGAAGATGAAGAAGAGTCCTAACAACTAAATGTTGTTCGAAGCTATTTTCTTGTGGCATTTTAAATTAATTACTATTTAACTGGGAATAAGCCACAATTAAAGATTTCCGATTGCCGATTAAAGATTGCCGATTTCCGAAGTGGAAATTGAAACGTCAATAAACGTATTTTTATCTTTAATTGTGGCTTATTCCCAGTTAATTAGTAATTAACTAAATGTTGGGACAAACGAAAATTTATCGAAAACGAGGATCTTCACGATACTTGATGCGTTAATTGTGCCTTATATCATCTCATAAAAACAATAGAATAAAAAACATCGGAGAACAACTAGAAGATCCAGAAGAACTATGGAGTGAATTTAAAAACCAAGTTAACGAAATCTCCACCAACAATAATTATAGAAAAAACTTAATCAAGAAAAATAAATGGATGACACACGACATCTTGAAATTAATAGAACAACGTCGACTGGTGTCCAAATCTAATGTAACAGAAAATAGACACCTGCAGAGAAGAATAAAAAAAGGAGATCAAATTAGCCAAAGAAAAATGGATTAGAGAAAGGTGCGACGAAATGGAGGATGTAATATCTAAACATGACTTATTTAATGTGCACAAAAAAAAACTAAAAAAAATGAGTAACATATTTAACAAACGAGTTCCCTCTGTATTCGTTAACAATATTAACAAAATTATTGTAAATGAGCACGAAATAAGAAAAGAATGGCAGCTGTATATATCAGAGTTGTTTGAATATGACAGAAATAATATTGCCGAATTCTACCAAAACTGTACTGACTGCCCAGAAATTATAAAATGCGAGGTAGAACATGCTATAAATAATGCTAAAATTAGAAAAGTTTGTGGTCCAGATGATACACCAACTGAGTTGTTAAAACTAATAGAGAATGATAACATAAAAGTAGTATACCATTTTTCAAAGTAAAACACTTGCACGTCACGACTTATACAAAGTGACGTCACTTTTATTTAAAATTTCCAGAACATCAACCTTATAGTTCAAATTTTACTAACACATCTAATAATACGAAACCCATACGGAACTGCTCGATCTTTCATAGGCGTCAACATGGTGTAATAATCAGAAAAATATCATCATCATTATATTGGAAATTTTAGAATTATATTGATTAAATAACCAACAACATTTATTACTATTAATAATATAAATTTTATGAAATAACTCTTGAAGTCTAATATTCCACAAAATAATATTTTTAATTAAATATATTAGACAATTGTACGCAAACTGATACGGAAATATATCAAATAATATTGACAGTTCAGCGGATGGTAAAAGTGTATTAAGTGTTGCCGCTTTTTTAGAGTAGAAATTTTGTTTATGTTTTGACGTTTTACACAATTTGATCATAATATAATATAATATTAATAAATTGTATTTATAAAAGCATTTTAAATTTAGATTAAGAGCTGTAAAAACTAATTATTGTTGTGTATTGTGATTGTGATATTCCAAAACAAATAAAAATCTGTAGAAAGCTGATAAGCTTTCATATAAGATAGATTATTTTGAACAAGAAATACTGGCGGGACGTTTTTGTTATTAAAGCCCTAAAAGAGGTAAGTTTAAAATGTAGAATATATAATTTTGTATTAAAATGGTTTCTTATATATTTTAATGTGTTGCAGTCAGTGTTGTAGTCTTAAAACTAAATGTATTTATTGTTAATATAATAGTTTGACAAATAGTTGACATTTTAAAAATTCCTGACTGACTAACTATTCTGATGTTTTGGCAACGCTGTGGGGTTCTGAAGACGTAAATCTTGAATGACGTGCAAGCTTTTTTATCTGAAAAATGCTATAGTAAGACTTTTTAATTCAATATACCGGAGTGATTCCCGCAGATTGGCTCAAATCCATCTTTGTCGCAATACCTAAAAAACACAATGCGAGAAAATGCTCAGAATATCGATTAATTAGCCTAATGAGCCACACTTTTAAAATTTTCCTCAGAATACTTTACAACAGAATTAGACGCAAATGCGAAAATCTTAAAGATACCCAATTTGTATTTATTTTTAAATAACAAATACATATTCTATAAAAATATGATAACATAAAAAGTGAGGTGCTTACGCAAGCGCTTAAGTTTTAAGGCTTTTTTCATTATACTTTTCTCATTTTTATTTTAGTTTTATTTCTTCATTCCTGTAAGGACATTGCAGAAATGAGTAAGGCAAGTCTCGTTAAAATTCCGATGCACGGCCAGTTGCAACGTTTTTGGGGCAACTTTTATCCACGAACTCTATAACTTTCTCCCACATTCCCAAGATCTTCCTTATATCTTTTGTACAGATAACCTCCTCCATCTCTGGCTTCTCTTCAAAACCAATTTTTCGTTGAAGCACCGTATGCTGCTGTGAATGTAGATCGTGTAACTTAATTCTAGGTTGTCAACCCCTGAGTCTGTTTTTCGACTAGTTCGATCACATCTCTCTCATCCACCTCCAGGCTCTTGTATTTTTCCAGAGAAACGATGGGTCTTGTCAGAACTTTCGAAGGATACGGTTTTGTTTTCTCCGTCAATCCAAAGTCAAAAAGTAAAAAAACAAACTATACTTATCAAAAATGCTTCGAAAATGAGGAGAATAAGCACACAGAAGGAGGTCTAGTCTAAGGTGGGAGAAACTGTTGGATGCTGCACAAGACCCCAATATTAGGGGCGCATATTAAAGTCGTGTGCAACGGTGTAGTATGCGTTTCCTTTTCCTCGTATCTTAAAACTTGCTCTTACATCAAAACAAAATATCTCTCTGCCAGTAGTGACCTACGGTGTGGAACCACTGTCCCTACAAAAAACAACGCTTTAAAACTAAGGACAAAGGAGGATAGAGACAATGAAACAGAAAATCACAAAAGAAGACCTAAGAAACAGAACCAGAAGTGCAGATTTTGTGGAGAGAGATTGAAGATTCAAATGAAAATGGGCTCACCACGTGGCAAGGATAAGGGATGGAAGTGGACACGCAAATTGGCTGAATGGAGACTTAGAACAGATAAACAAAACAGAGGAAGACCACCTACACGATGGCAAAATGATGACGAAAATTTGCGAAAAAATTAGAGGCCTATGTCCTGCAGTGGTCTTAAAACACGGACTAATGATGATGATGATAATGTATATGTACACTATGTTAAGGTTAACTGTGATTGAAATCCAAAAATAGGTGATTTTACGGATCTTTTCCTCGCTGGTAGAAATTCTAGTCCGTGTCGTGATTGTTTATTTCTTCAAAATCTGTTTCTTCAGCATTAGTTTTGCATCTCCATAATTAACTAATTCTTCAATAGCATGCCACCGATGTATTTATCATTCGAAACTTCTTTTCTGTTATTAAGATCGTTTCAAAAGTTATCCATTCTCTACTATTTTCATTACCTCATCATCATATAGGTAACCGTCTGTTAACCATTGTATCTAAAAAATTACTTTGTGTTAGTTAAAAATTAACAATTAACAAAATGTTTCTTTACTGTTTATGAAATTACACAAAAACTATAACGTTAAAACTACCCACAGGTCCCGCGGACCCAAAATAAGTTCAAATTCTTTCAAATGCCTTTAAAAAACAAAGCGCACTCGTTGACCGTTTAATTGTAATACTCAAGACTAGAAACGCTAGCAATTTCTATGTAAGATTTATATTGTTTTAACAATAATCAACATGGCGATGAACCACAGGACCCGAGGGTAGCGGTTACGGGTTAATATTAACTGATCGAGAAGGTAACACCATATATGTGAAACTGATGACCTAATGATAAAAATATGTATGAAAGAAGGGAGCTTTCTGGTTTCAGAAAGGGAAGTAGTAAAAATCATGCAAAAAATAAAAATAGATCGCTTCAAAAAATAGAATTAACAAAGAGTATTTTATTGTGAATAAATATAATAGTTTTAACTCCAACATTAATATTTTGTATCATACGTACACGTTTATTTGTAATTTAATTATATGACAATATTTTTTATTTATTGCATTTGTATTTTTCATTTACCTATGAGTTACAATCCTCTGCAATCTTCTGTGCACTAGCGTATAATATGTTGCATAAATTTGGAAGTAGTTAGTACGCAATCCTATTGGTAGATTATGATGACAGCTGTAGATTATTTGTGTTTTTATTTGCATTTGTGTGGTGAGGTGGTGACATTCGTTGACGTACCGTTAGAGGTGAAATGTCAAAGTGCCGGAAGTATATTTTAAATGTTTTTACCCTAATTTTGGTGAATGAAAGACATTTAATAAAAAATTTCGAAATGAGTTCTACTAGCAATACTTTTGAAAGAATTCAAAACGAAATCAGAGAAAACTTAGAACGTGAAAAAGAATTGAAAACTGGACATACCAGCTTAAATGGGGTTAGTTATTCACAGGGAGATATTTCAGCAACTGCAACTAACGGCACTTTACCAAAAACCAATGGGTTTACTAGAAGATTCATTCCAAATACCAATGCCAGAGGTGTAATGCAAAAATTTTTTAAAAGCAGAGGTAAATTTAATAATTCAACTATAAATGCTGTAGATCTACAAAATTCTTTTGAACCTGCAAAAATTACTATTAAAAAAGGTGAAAACCTTAGAAATGGCTATGTGTCTGCGGAAGAAAAAATAGTTAAAGAATTATTAGATTTCCAAAAACGTGAAACAGAATTAAGAGAGGAACGTAGAAAGTCTCAGCCAGATTTAATGAGAGCTTTAGAGCTAGAAGAAAATCAAATGAAAAATGGCAATAGTAATAGTAGTATTTTGAAATCAGCCAAATCTTTGTCTAATTTATATCAAATAAGCAATACTACAAAAAGTGTGAATGAGTCCAATTAAAATATACTTTCCTTGCAGTATTGTGATCTCTAGGCTAAGAGCAACATTTAGGTAAGTTTGAGTTTCTAAATTGATAAACTTTTATATATTAATTTAAATAATGCATATATGTATATATTTATGTTGGTTCTGGAACTAATTATTAAAGTCAAAACCTAGTTCTTCAATACCTAAATCTTGATTGATTCTGAAATTTTAACACATGCTGAAATAGATGGTTATGACAAATATATGTTGTGTTTCTTTTTGCATTTAATTTTCTTATGAATAGACAATGGTTATACAGGTTTTCTAGTCTTATTCTGTAATTTAAAATTTCATACTAGCTTCAGAAAAATAGAGAGAAAAGAGATACCCCTTTTTCTAGTTCATCTGTCCCAGTGTCTTGTGTTCTAGATGTTCTAGAACTAATTAAAGAATCTCGTTTTAAAAAATCTTGTTAATTTTAGTCTTTTCAAATGTTCCAGGCACTAGTTTTTTAGATTGATACCTTATAAGCAAATTGGTGTAAGTCAATAAATATTTGAAGTGAGATAATAAGATGTTTGTGAAAATAGTTGCAGAAAAATGAGGAGCCTTTAAAAATAAATAAACTATATATACATATTCATTAATACAAACAAGGATATTAAAAAACTTTCATTCTTTTTCAACAATAACAACTTTATTACCAAAAGTACTGACTTATGTTAAATTTCCACTAAAAATAAAAAACATAATTGAATATCCTTATGATTTAATTTAAACAGCTACATGTAATAGCACAACATCACTGTGTACATATTTTTTTATCAATATATTCTTCAGCATCTGTTAATTTTAAATAGTTTTCTCTTGCTGCTGCAGCTAGCGTTTGATTTATTGTTGGCATTGTTTCTGTAGAATGAGTGATACTGTAGCAGAATAAATTTCATAAGATCAAACATGTATTTCTTTTTAATTAGCTAGCTTCACTGGTCTACAACACCACTCAGAATACAAAGGATCCTAAAATGCATTAGACAAAATTTGAGATCTTCCCTTTGATGTTGGTTCTGATATATCAATTTCATTAACTTCAAACACTGATTCCTGTAATGTTTGTTATAAAATAAATATAGAGTTGGGTTTATGTTTGCTGCTACCTTAACTGTTTTATTTGTAAACAGTTCACTTTTTGACAATTTACTTTAATTTTTGACAGCATTTCTACTATATCAACCCAGTTATGACGATATAAATAAATTCTTTCTTTTTCGTTTTTTTTTCAATGATACCAAAATCAGCATCATTTGGAAGATAGCTAGGTATGCTATGACACAAGAAATTTGTGATCGATGTAATCAACTTTAATATTAGTGTCTTGTACAAGTTCTGGGGAGCTAAGGATAACTTTATATTTCAATTCTGCCTTGTACAACAATCGGAATATATGATTATGTGTTTATGTTCAGAAGAATATTGCTTGAGTTGCTTTGAAAGGCATGCTGCTATTTTCTGGCACCCTCTAGAGCCCAAAGTTTTATTCCACATTTACATAAAACTCCTATTGCCAATAAAGCAATGAACACCCAGGTTGTAAATATACACATTCCGTTTGTAATAAGCTGCTGATGCACTCAATTTCGGAAAAGGAAGTGTTTTTTCTAGATCAAATGTAAAAACGCAATTTTCATTTGTCTTCAAATCTCCTCTTAAAAAATTTCTTGCACTGCCTGCCTTCCACAAATCTAGTTCTTTATCTAATTTTTCTGTTCTGTTTTCTTCCTTAGTCTGCCCATATGTTAACTTATTCTGTAGTGAATCATACAGGTGACATGTATCCTTAGATGGTGGATTAAATTGTGAATTGAACTGAGTAGAAAAAATGTGGTAGTACATCTTCTCTTTCACAGGAACTACATCTTCTTGTACACACTTTTCCCGATACATATAAATTTTTTTAATGGTTAAGTCAGGGTGTAGGTATCTCCTGTTAGGTGTATCAGAACTTGTGTAGTGGCTTGATAAGTCGAAAATTATTCTATATACTCTTTTACTCCTGACACACCAATTTTATTGCTTGATGCCCTATGCACCCTCTTCTCAATTCACTGTGCTGTATGGACAGCTGATCGTCCGAACAGAAAGATACTTTATACTTTATTTGATGATCACTAACTTGAAATGTGCCCCAAAGAACTTTGCAGACACCAGACACATATAGACATGTTTGTTATTAAGAAATATTTATATGATTTTGCTTTTGCAACCTTGGAGAAATGCCTTGCACAGTGCTGCTTAATATTAATAGTGTGAACGAATCCCTGAAGGTAACTGTTTTGTTTCAAATGGTCACCCAATCCATAAAATGACAATGAATTTTGAGTTAACATTTTGAAAATAACGCCTTGTACTGTTACAATCTGTGTTTTTGAATATTTTAGCACTCATAATATTGCCATTTCTATTTACATACTGTGTGCCACAATTTCGTTTAGATTTATTAATTGTCATTTTACAATAATTTTCATTCCACTTACACTTTCTTCCTCTAACTTTATAATGTCCATTTTCTTCAACATTTTCCAAATCATTTGCAACATCCTTTTGGTTTTTGGCATTTTCTTCTGAAACTTGGAGACTTGGAGAAAGTCTGAAAAAAAATGTTAAATTTACATTGAATTTAAATAATAAAACTGACAAGTCTTAACTCAAGTATGTAACTTTACATAAAATTTTGAGGTTAGAATTTAATTAATAAATACTTACCATCATTATAAATTCTCCACTTTCTGGTTCATATTCAGAACCACTATTGGAATAGGGATCACAATCTGATGAATTTTCATTTACTGCAGATAGATGTGAACCACCAATTATCCCAATGTTTCACAGGTCTTTTCAAGCAAGTCAACATAATGACTTACTTAATCTGAATCCTGAAAATATTGGAAAAATAATTTGATGGCAAAACAGATACCACCATATATCAAAGAAAATCTAAAATAGTAACTTCTTATGTGGTAAGGGACAACTGAAACATTTGAGTATTTTATATATACTCATATTACTCTTATTGAAAGTAAAAAATAATTTCTGATAAAATAAGAAATAATTATTTATGTTCTACAGAATTCAGTTCAATTCAATAGATCACATGCATGTAGGTGGCGCTGGCATCAGGGTTTGGTATTAAAACATAACCTTATTTAATTCTGCCATTTATTTACATTTTTAGCTAGTAGTAGTTTCCTAGTTGGTATGCAATTTTGTGAGTGATTTTAAGTTTTAATAAGTTATTTAAGACATTTTAATTATTTGGACACTTTTACTAAAACTTTACAGTATGCCTTACAATTGTTGTGTGCCACAATGCAATTCAGTTTCCAATAAAACTTACGTTTTCTAAAACATTTAATAAATTCTCCTTGAATAAAGCTGTACAAAAACGATGGTTGATCGCCATCCTAATTTCTTGCATTGTCATTGTCTTGTTTTTCTAGGACAATATAAAATCCTTAAAATACATGCAGCACCATCAGTAAATTTACCAAAAAGAAAGTTGGAAACTCCAGTGAAGGATTCTAGTATAACTGATAGATATAGAAGACTTTGTGTAGCAGTATTGCCACCAAATAAACAAAAAGAGCAAACATTAACAGAATTATTACAAACAGTTAAGAATGACACACAAAAGTGGGGTTGAAAAGAGACACCTGCTAATGAAAATAAATCAGAGTTCAAAAACATGTATTACAACTCAAACCATGATAACATGGAATAGAAGTCATTTCATTCCTTATGACTTTTTATCAGAAGAAATATTTTACTGGTTTTTCAAGAAAATTCTACATTAAAGCATTTTTTTGCAATAGATATTTGAACTGTCCTAAAGATATTTGTGGACCAAGCATCTTTACGCTCGCTCTAAAAAAATTTACTTTTGGAACATTACAACAACTTCAGAAGACCAGTACAAAATTACTTTGGACCGAACCGAAATTCCAATAGATCAAAGCAATGACCCTAGTATACAACAGGCAACATTTTTTTTACATATTATGGAACCAATACCTTTAAAATACTAATAACATGATTTTGAAAAAGGTGAAATTATATATGTATCTGATGTTTATTAAGGCAGTATTTCAGATTGCAGAAACATTACAGTAGAATTCAGAATTTTAGGACGTATTGAAGAAGAATTTATTCTAGCGGACATGTGTTTTAATATATCAGATCTTTTAGAGGAAAAAGGAATATTATTTAAATATACCGGTATTTAAAAAGATGCTCAGTTAACAGAAGAAGGAAAAATAAAAACAAGGGCTATTGTCAATCGTAGAATCATTGTTGAAAATATTATACCTAGGATTGGCAAAAAAACATAAAATACTGAAAGATAGAATTATTTCCAAGTTATTCCCATACTTATATGAATAAAATAATTTATAACTGTTTTATGATTTGTAATTTTAAAAATAGAATAAGTAACACTTTGTGAAAAGTATTTTGTGCCAGGATTGGCAAAAAAAAAACATAAAATAGTGAAAGATAGAATTATTTCCAATTATTCCCATACTTATATGAATAAAATAATTTATAACTGATTTATGATTTGTAATTTTAAAAATAGAATAAGTAACACTTTGTGAAAAGTATTTTGTGCCTATATTAATCAATTGAATTTCTGGTGGGACAGCATTTATTTTTTTATTAATTTTACATATTATAACATTTGTGATTTGTTATTAATTATCAACTTTAATTTGTTTAAAAACATGGAAAATATGACTTTAACAAGATTTAATTTGCGTTATTTCATTGGTTAACTATGAGACAAAAATAAAAAAAACTTTTTGTTTCAATTTTGAAATATCCATTATTAATAAATGTTCAAACTAAAGATTAAATAACTCACTAATTTCACAAATTTTAAACACTGTGAAACTATGGCTGAAAATCTGCAAAAATGTATTGAAATGTTTATCTGAATCTGAGGAATAATAATGAGGTTCTGATTGTATTCGCTCCGTGCGTGACTGACGCGACACCTACCGCCTTCAACTGACAATTTTGGAGTCCCAATT